GTGAAGTCCGATGGGAGTGAATGTGAAGAGGAGGTTATTAGCCTGGTAATGATTCAACTTGATATTTTTGTTTGCTCGACTGTTGTGGTTTTTTTAATTTTAATGTTAATATGTTTGCTATTATGATTGAATGCTCTGAGAAGGCCAAATAATTACAATTTTCACCAGGAAAGAATTCTAACAATGTGGTCTGGTTCCACATTAATGTTCTTCATTCAAATTTGTCGGCACAAATTTTCTTGTCATGATTCAAGCTTATTACACAATCCGTTAAGATCGTTCCTGAGATTTTCCCATAGTTCAGGATGGTTTGAAGATTCTGTCAACTTTGCTAGTGCACATGCTGGGTAGTTGGCAATTATCATCTCTTGCTCTAGCATCCAGCATAAGAAGACGAGCTATCTCCTCACAGTTCCTAATAGCGAAATCCAAAACTTCTTCAAACAAAACCAGCCACCTTAAAGAACACATATTTTTTGAATGTGCCTTCCTGAAAATTGACATCAATCACAAGTAATACGGGTAAAGAATATATCCAAGATTAATGTTGTTGTGTTAGCTTTAAAAGAATAATTTGTACAACTTGACTGATGTACTCATCTGACCTCTGGTACATATCCAACCTCGGGCAAAAAAGTATGTGCTGCTTCTGGAGATCTTTTCCCCTATTCACCTGTTGCTTTCATGATGTCAATTCTAGTTTGTGTGTTTTCCTTAAGTTCATCATCATGTTATTCTTGGGAATAACAATTTGAATGTTTTTTATTCTGGTTTTTGTCAGGCTTCAACTGTTGAGAAGATAATGAAGAATCTACGCATTGAGATTAGTGACTTAAAACATTCGCTTGAAGAGTCCAGGTAATTTTTTTGTTGCAGCACTTGGGTACCCTGTTTTGTGATAGTATCAAACCTCATTTTTTGTTTTATTAGTGCTAATATGTCTAAATAAGGCTGTAATTTACAAGTTGTAATGAAGTATCATCCACCATGAGCAGAAATATATTTAGAGTGGAAAGGGAGAAATTTAAATGGAAGCAATGAACACTATCAAAATTTGGTTATTAACAAAGCTTTCTTTGATATTTTCTGAAATCAGATAAAAAGTTATAGAGGGATAGGATACACGTTAATGGTCTGAAATGGAATACAGGTTGATGAGGTTGGTCTAGTTTTAACCATATTTAAATTTTCATAGATTTGAGCCTAAAATTGGATTGCACACCTGACCTATTTGTGGGTATAATTTCTATTTAAGTTTCAAATAGGGCCATGCCAATCGTAATCTTTATGTGGGTTGACCTTTCCAGGGGTGGGCATGTAAATCATGCATTTCTGCATAGCTCTTTTGTACTACCTTGTCTTTGTAGCTTCTTGAGTTGTGCATTCTGATCTAGTATCCAGTCTTTGCCAGGTCAGATAGTGAACGGTTGCAAACTTTTGTTAATCAACAAGCAGAGAAGATTAAGGACAGCACACACTACATAAAGGAAATAGAAGAAAGAGAGAATATGCTGGCTCTAAGAGTACATCTTCCTTAAGATATTTTATCTTACCAAAAGGCTATATTTGATCTTTATTATTCATTGCATTTCTACTAACTGTAAGGTTGAAGAGCTTACAATGGAGATTAAAGAAGCAAGAGAGGAGGTAACCAGGTGGAGGGAAGCATGTGAACTTGAAGTAGAAGCTGGAGAAATTGTGATTGAAGAACGTGAGAAAGAGGTAAATGTTTGAA